CGAAGGACATGTCCAAAGTCTTGGATCTCAAAACTTGGGACACTTGGTCAATTCTGCTGCAGCGTGGTCATTCCTGCGCTACTACAGTGAGAACCACTTGAGTGCGCAGAACGTGAAACTGAAGGCCTGGGGTGAGTCAAACGCAGACGGTGCTGGGCGGCGGGTCGCTGGCTCGCCGGGTAAACGGCTGCGGCTTCGTTGCGGGGCATTGGTGGGACATCATGCTTGGGCGATGTTTCGTCGCTTCGAACGTCACGGCACATCCTGCGGTTGAGGATGAGGTTGGGCGCTACTACTTTGCCACCCAGCCGCTGCCATGCCAGGAGCACCTGGCTAAGCGGCAGTTGCCAGCGCTGCCAGGACCGAAGCTCGCTCCTGGCAGCTTGGAGAACGTGGCCCGGGCCGTGTGCGAACTGTACGGCTTTGCCCCCGAGCTACATCGCTGGATGACCTGCCAGCCCTCGCAGGTGACTGCAGTGGCGGACTACTGGCTTTCGCCCTTCGCAATAGGCTACCACGGATACAAGAATCTTACGGACCTATTGCATGCTTACCGGATTCTCTACCAATCTGCTGGATGCAATTGGGCTCTGCCCTTCCGGCCAAAGGTGCTGCACGAGAGGACAGCCGCTTCGAGTTCCCACATGTCGTAGCAGCACTGATGCCCCAGGTACGATGCCGCCTGGCTAGTCCGAGAGCTAGAGCTTCACGAGGAGGACTTGAAAGCTTTGGGGTTGATGCCTCATTTATGCCTCCTTGCCAGCAGTATATGTTATGCCATTCGTAACTACAATGACAGTCACGGCGGTGACAAGACGAGAACAAGAACGAGAAGAGTTATTGTAAATGGAGACAGAGATGTGGAAGGGTTTAGAGTTTAGGATAGTTTGGGGTTTAGGGTTTAAGTCTAGGTTTAAGGATGACAGCGACGGCGACGCCAGCAACATCTCCAATCAATCACGGCACGGCAGTAACATAGGGCCATGGATTTGAAGGACTGGGGGCAGTATCACTCAATCGTGCCCATAACCCCATACTACGATGGACCCCGGATCCTGTTCCAATCATGAAGGCCACCATTTTTGAGAATGATAGGAGATGCACGTCCGATGCTGCACGATGCCGTGGATGAAGCAGCGTTTTGAGTTTCAAGGCGCTTTCCCGTCCCAAAGCCAGACCTGCTTCCTCAACAAACTCCCGGAGCTTAGAGCGTGGCCTCGCACACGGTTTGACAACCAAGGCCTGCACGATATCGAACTCCTACAATGCCAACGACGAGGCTGACGGCTTAGGACGTTAAAGCATTCAGGGCTCAGGGACCTAAAGGGGCATCGGTTTGTGGTTCGCGTTTCAGGGTTTCTAGTCTCAGGCGTCGGGCGACCGTCCGTGTGTGAGCCGGCGGCGGTTGTCATAGTCATAGTGCTGCTCGAACCCTGCTGATGTGCAGACTTCTCAGCAGCAATGAGCCGTAAAGCCTACTCCCCCCTAGACACAGAACCCCAGACCCCTGAAAGCCAGATTGGCCTTTCCAACTCCCTCGGGCTGACCACAAAGGGGCGATAAAAAAAAAGAGACCCCTGAACCCAACAACAAGGCGGTGGAGCCAGTGGAGACCTCGCGGAACTTCGAGACCCTTGGGCTGAAGGGTGTGAGTGCGAAGAGGAAAGCAAACACAGTCACCGTGCCTACGACACAATAAGCCTAAACCCCAAGCCCCAAAGCGCAAAGCCCTGAGCCTAAGCCCTGGTAGTACCAGCAACAACCGCCGAGCACCGATCGTCTAAGGAGTATTTTGAGCTGCCGAGAGCTTGAACCTAAACCACGAGCTCTCAAGCTTGTCTGTTTATGACTTAGGGCTCAGGGCTGAAGGTTTAGGGTT